TTAGCGAGTTAATATAGAGTTTCTGTTTTAGTAGTCTTTTATAATTTTTATTTAGATCATCAGTCCGGAGACCAACCCCGAAAGAATCAACACCTTCACTATAATTCAAGAAGCTACTCAATCTTTTATTTTTAGTTATTTAAATAGTATGTTTAAAGCAGTAGAGTTGCATGACTAAAAGCAATGGCGCATAAAATAAACATGAAAAATGCGCGTATAATATCGTGGTAAATACTATTTTATATAGGAAATGTTAATTAATTCTTAAACCCTTAATGAAGCATCAAATTAATTAAATTTGATGTCAGGTTGCATTGTCATCATGTTTTGACCCAAGTGCCAAGTTTTAAAGAAATTGAACGATTAGAAGTGGTCGTAATTTTGCTCGCCCGTTTCGATTCATGATGAGAAACAGAGGAAGCAAGTTAAAGGGATATGCTAAGTTTTATTCCATTAAAAAAAACCAATTTAACATCTAAAGCATTTTAAATACTTTAGTCGTGATTGGAAAATTAAAAGTAAGCACTAAACAGCAGAATAAAGTTTAAATACAATTTCGGTTGACATGGAAACCCAAAAAAAAAATATCCGCCATTTTAAATTTCTCGGCACTTAGGGTTCGGGTTAGGGTTATGTAATAATGCACTAAAAAGTAGAAAATAAATTATAGACTACTATTTAAATAACTATAAAGAAAAGCGTGGGTCACTTTAGTATCTATTGGATACCTTTACTAATGTTAAGGAAGACACCCACGCTTTTCTTTATAGTTATTTAAATAGTAGTCTATAATTTATTTTCTACTTTTTAGTGCATTATTACATAAAAGCTTGTTATTAAAACGTTTTTTATGACTTTTTTTTTCAGTACTTTACATGTTTTATTTACAATAGAGTTACATGACTAAAAACCATTGCGCGCCTACTGAACGTGATGGCGCAGCCATTGAACGTGATGGCGCAGCTATTGAACCTGATGACGCGTGTGGTGTGGTTGGATAGACATGTCTACTAATTCGGTCCAAATTTTAATTAATTCATAAAAAATTAATTAGGCATCCAATTACGTCAAATTTAATTTCAGATTGCATTGTCTTCATGTCTTGACCCACGTGCCAAGTGTGAATCGTATCGGTCAAGTAGAAGTTTCCGAATTTTCACTCCGGCGTTTCGGTCTAGACAGACTGACGACAGAGGAAGCAAGTTAAATAAAAGCTTGTAAAAATCATGTCCATATTCCGAGTTATATAAGAATATTCAAGAAATTTAGGGGAGATCACTCCCAGTTTATTCTATTGACAGAATCGACAGGCCGCAGAGATGTCTTGGGACATCGTTGATACATGTCCCCAATTTCCCGGATCGTATATATCTTTTACGATAATTGGGAATGAATTATTTTCGTCAGAATCATTTTCAGAATGGCCGCTTGATTTGTCACTATGGTCGAAATTCGTGAGGTTTGCAACTGATTATTAATGACTCGAGGACTCATTATTACCGTGATCACCACAAATGGTAGTACTCTCATTGTAGTCCTTTTTGTTACGTTCTACATTTTCGACATTGAAATCCTCAACCAAATCAAAAAGTTTTTGATGTTTAACGACTTTCTTTGGATAGTGTATGTACTTGTCCAACGCGCCTGCTTGTGTTGTATTAAATTCTTCTCTTAAATTGCGTTTCCTCGCTTTTGATGCACCCGATTCATACTTGCGAAATCTATCACTGTCTCTTGTAGCCCTGGTGTTAAGGAAAAATAGCGAAATCACTTTGAAGCAACGCTAAGGCGGTCCACAGCGGCGGGTGATAGTATCGATATTTTCTCAATTTATCGAGTGTTAACAGTGGCATTCAAAGTGTGTGGATGCCGGAGAAAATAGCAAAACATTAATAGATTTCGGAATAAGCTCGAATCGTGAAAAACACTGTTTACGGCTATAGATATCCAAATGAAATGACTCTCAAATGGAATCACGAATGCTCAGTGGGGTGGGTGACAGTTGGTGGGGTGAGGTAAAAGATAACTGTACATTTAAATCTATGGGATGCCAAACCCTAAAATCAGTTCGGGTACTACGTAACTGGATCTCTGACCGCAGCCATTCAAGAGAAAGTGCGTTTTTATAGAGCGTCCACGTATTAAATTACAGGTTAAGACCGCGTTCTCACAAGAGAAGGTTCGTGTCTATAATTAGAAAGTGAACCATGTGACAGCCAGATTCACATTATTTATCAGTTTCGCGACGGCATGCTCGGACTGCCGGTAATTTAGACGTTTGTGAAATCAGGAGAACTTTACCATAAAACATTCTCGGCCCGATGTATCAAACAGTATAGACTTTATAATTTGTTTAGTATGCCTACACTATTTTAAAACAAGAATCACTATGGTCTTAACTATTATACTGAATATCCCTACAACAATTAATTAAAATAAACATGTGCTTAATCACTCTACGAATACCGTAGTTTACCAAATGAATATGGACATAATTACTGTATAAATGCCTTTCAAAAATATAAAAATATATACAAATATATTTAAAGATGGCATGACAATATATAAAATGAATATGATCATAATTACTGTATGGATGTCTATCAAACGTATCGTGGTACATAAGCATAATTACACAAAAGATGCCCGTACAGGGTATACATTATGATTTTAGGGATAAATACTCTGGTCGTCCAGGGCATGTCCCCATCCGCTCCCCCCCCCCCCCCTCCTCTGCAAGCCATCATCAGATCACTGACTGTTTACTACATGCATCCCCGCCTGCTCACTAAAAAAACAAACAACGTCTTCAACGGTCCACATACAATAGGGTATCTCATTACGTGTTTTCCCGCTTTTACCTCCCATGTCAGGTCGGGGGGCTAATTCGCGACCGCCATCTCCAGTCACCTCAGGACAATTGCGAGTCGACTGTGCCAGCGATGTGTGACACTAATGTCTTTCTTTAGAATAACGGTCTGTCCCAGGCCATGTAGAGGATAACTCACTAACATCACCCGTGGCCTCAGTTTTAACATACAACAACTTCGGCCATTTAGGTTTTTTTAAATTTAATCCAGCAAAGGTTATTTAAGTTTACAAACTAATTCAGACAACAATGGCGGTGCTGAAACGCGGGGCCCCTTCAAGCGCGGGGCCTGGGGCGACCGCCCCGTTAGCCACTCCCCTAACGCCGGCTCTGTGGTCACCAATACTCATGAACAATTTGGCAAGCTAAACAAACGTCAAGACATAACCCACCTGTGGGGCCCAGAACAACGAACAGCCTTTACCCAGCTTAAGACTGCATTGACCACTACGCCGGTTCTGGGTTACCCTGACTTTACCCTACCCTTTATTCTGGAAACAGATGCCAGCAGCTACGGTTTAGGCGCAGTCTTAAGCCAGAAACAGGCGGATGGGGTGAAGGTAATGGCCTTTGCCAGCAGGTCACTCCGCCTGAATGAAAAAAAACATGAAGAACTATAGTGCCCTTAAATTAGAACTTTTAGCTCTGAAGTGGGCCATGGCTGAAAAGTTCAGAGGATATTTGCTGGGCAGTAAAACATTGGTGCTGACCGATAACAACCCCCTCAGTTACATCAAATCGTCTAAGACCGGAGCAACTGAGCACCGTTGGATTGCAGACCTAGATGTGTTTGACTTCGAGATCAAGTACAGGTCCGGCAAATCAAATGCCAACGCCGATGCCCTGTCCAGGTTTCCTGTGGACAAACGTGCGGCAAGAGATCCCGAAGTGCAATACTCCGGGGTATACCAGGTCACCACCCGGGTCCCGCCAGAGGTGGCAGTATCAACACCCCAACCTGTCCCTCTGGAGGCCCACTGCCATTTCCTGTCTTCGGCCCTGTAGATCGGGTCAGTTTCTGTGTGGGCGCGTGGCGCACCTCATGCGTGGAGTTATTTGTTTTTTTATTTACCTTTATATATTTTGTTTGTATGGAAGCGACTGCCGATGTTTCTCGTTTTATTTCATTTTCGTCTAAAACGAGATAGTGAGCATCGGCAGGTCTGGTACACATGTGGTGTGTCCTATTCGAAATACAATTTTATATTTCCTTGGCGTGTTTTGGACCACGTGGTTTAGGTCTTTATGTTTAGGAGGGTTTCCTACACTGGTGTGAATGTGTGTGTGTAATTTACTTGATTATTTTACTTTATTATTATGTATATTATTATGCATATATTGATTGTATATATTGTTTTGTATATATTGTTTTGTATATATTGTTTTGTACGTAATGTTTTCTACGTAATGTATTGTACGTAGTGGTTGTACGTAGTGTTTTGTTTGGCGTGGACTTATGGATGTTGAAAATGGATTAAGGGAGGTTTCTGTGTGTCAGAGCCTGGACCATCCTAGACATCATAAGTCGGCGCAACACCATCAAATAGTCAAACGTAATATTTTGTATGTATTGTTTTGTCACGTTAAAGTCTGTTTTGTTTAGTCGTGTCTTGTATATATTGTTGTGTATATATTGTTTTGTATATATTGTTGTGTATATATTGTTTTGTATATATTGTTGTGTATATATTGTTTTGTATGTATTGTTTTGTCAAGTTAAAGTCTGTTTTGTTTAGTAGTGTTAGTAGTTTTTTATCTTTTTTTTTTTTTACAATTTTGATTGGTTCCATTTAATAAGTTTTTTTTTTGTTTTTACTCGGGCTAAGGTTAACGTTATTAACCAGTCTGGGTTTAGCCGGACTTGCACTGGTTGGACAGTAGTTAGATAAGTATAGAAGGGTAGATTTTAGTTACCCCCCCCCCCCCCCAGCAGGGCTTACATATTTTCTGCATTTGTTGCTATGTGAGTATATTGGCGAAATTTAAATCTTTAAGTAGTTTTGTCTGTTGGAGTCCAGTTTTTTTTTGTTTCCTATGGTTTATTTCATTATTCTGTTAACCCGTCAACTAAATTTCCCTCGTCGTGTATTTAGTTCTATAAATTTGTAAACAGTAAACACAAAACACTTACCAGGCAAATGCTCTCGAATGAATACACGGATGTACCAAAGAACATAGTGAGGGAAGACCACGATTTAAAAACTGGACGTTCTTTTTGATTGGGAAGATCCTAGAGGAATTCAGATTAATATGTATTTCTCATCACTAGACCAAGGCAGATGAATATTAATTTTTACAACGAATAGGATTACAAATATGTCTCTCCACTTCAGGAATTCAAGGGGTAATAGACATGGGGTTATTGTACATGGGCTAGTGTAGGTTACCTAACTGCCCATATGTAGGTTCAATAGCTGTCCATATGTAGGTTCCCTATCTGCCTACATGTGAGTTCCCTAACTGTCCTGAGTAGGTTCCCTTTTAATTTGTCGTTCATTGTGGTTTAGGTACAGTGGATATATTTGAATTTCCTGTGGTGTAGGATATATTTTTATTTATTTCCAATGAAACTATTTTAGTTATGGGAAGCTGTTGTTGACTTCACATACACAACGACCTGATAACTAATGTGCAAGTAGATATGATGACTGACGTACAAAGTGACAGACCTGTAACATGTACTGCAAAATGACGATCAGACCGACAAGGTAAATGACATTAGCTACTGCAGAAAACACGGCCAAGATTTTCAAACTTCGTATCATGACATAAGGCAGCAGGAGCAGAAAGACTGTCACTTCATAAACTCGGACATTTGGACTGGATGGCCAGTACTGGTCAAGCACCTGGATATATCAATCACATCTTCCAGTAATGTTATATAAACTTTAAGAAATTTAACTCTACATTATGTAAAATGTGGCTAGGCTTATAGTTAAGCAGACCATAGGCCTAGGTTAGAAAACCGTAAGCTTAAGTAAAGAAATCACAGATTTTATAAATTCATATGTTAATAGTGTATAAACTATAGACAACATAAGTAAAACTTCATCACTACCAGTTATGTGTTGCAATGGAAATCACAAAAAGGTGTGAAAATTCACACATTTTAAACCTCTATAAAAAATAAGTGAAATCTAATAATAGATTTATGTTTTTTTTTTCATTTTATTCTAAGCACTTTTACTTTGTTTTTTGTTATTTTGATAGTTGGGATGCTTTTTATATAAACATTTTTACTTTTGTTTTTGTTTTGTTATTTTGATAGCTAGGAAGCTTTTTATATACACATTTTTACTTTTTTGGTGTTATTTCGATAGCTAGGATGCTTTTTATAAACACATTTTTCCTTTTTTTTTTTAAATTTTGATATCAAGGATGCTTTTAATAGTTACATTTTCCTTTTTTTTTTGGTTGTTGTTTTGATAGCTAGGATGTTTTTTTATAAACAAATGTTCACTTTTTTACTTTCTCGTATATACGAAGTATAGAGAAAGTCTTGTAATCGTGCAAAAAAAAAAAAAAAAAAAAAAAAACGGGATTTTTACAAATCTCGCCGTTTTACACCTCACTGATACGGAAAAACATATTTTTGCAATCTTGTCCGTATGTCTGTGTGTCTGTCTGTCTGTCTGTGTGTGTGTCTGTCTGTGTGTCAACACGATAACTTGAGTACCGTTACAGCTAGGTTGATGAAATTTTACATATAAGTATTTATCGAAATCGTAGATCCGTATAAACTTTTGAGCGATTTCCGATAACCGGAAGTGTACTTTTTCTACTTTGAATTTTTCAAAAGACTATAACTTGAGTACTATTTCAGATAGATAAATGAAATTTCACTTGTAAGTAAAAGATCTAATTCTCCACCTTCTATCAAATTTTGAGTAATTTCCATTGAACGGAAGTACTAGTTTACGCTATTTCCGATTTCTCAAAGAACGCATGTAAATTTATAAAGTACTAAATAATATTGCGCACTATTATGCACATTTTGTTTTGGCGTTCGCTTCGTGCGCAATTCTTTTTTCTATGAGATTCTATTTTATTTTTAAAAGTTTAAGTAATTAAAAATCATGTCTATATTCCAAGTTATATAAGAATATTCGAGAAAGTTTAGGGGAGATCACTCCCGGTTTATTAATTTTTAAAACTATTTTAGGTTCATATACGCATTTTGTTGTTGTTATTTTGATAGCTAGGAAGCTTTTTATATACACATTTTACTTTTTAAAAAACTGGATGCTAGGATGCTTTTTATATACACATTTTTACTTTAAAAAAAAAATTGAATTCTAGTTCTAGGATGCTATTTATATACACATTTTTAATTTTTTTTTTAAATTGATAGCTAAGATGCTTTTCATGTACACATTTTTACTTTTTTAAAAATTTTGATAGCTAGGATGCTTTTTATATACACATTTTTACTTTGTTTTTTGTTGTTGTTGTTGTTATTTTGATAGCAAGGAAGCTTTTTATGTACACATTTTTACTTTTTTCTTCTTCTTCTTCGTTCTTAATTTTAGGATACGTGTCGACTGGTTATGGGCCATTAAGGCCATTGACTCAGATTTCAGCCTGCTTTTCTTTTTGGATTTGCTTCTATAGTCTTTGTCCAACCAAGAACAAACTACAAGGCAGCAGTTGTTTGATTTTGGAGTTGTCTCTCCTAGAAGAGTGGCTGTCCCCAGCTAACGAGCCTCATCTGCCTCGTGACTTTTCGCTTTACCGACTCGACCACGCCGACGCCTCTATTTTTACAAGCTTTTATTACACTCACTTCCTCGTCAGTCAGTCTGTCTGTCTAGAACAAAACGCCCGTGCGAAATCGCAGGCACTTCTAAGTGACAGATGCGGTTCGTAATTGGTACGTGGGTCAAGACATGAAGACAATAATTCGTGACATTCAATTCGACTTAATTGGTTGCCTAATTATTTTTTTATGAATTAATTAAAATTTTTGACCGAATTAGTAGGCAGCTCTATCCAGAGGCGTAGAGATGGGGAGGCAGGGGGGACGACACATGTCCCCGGGCGCCGATCTTAGGAGGCGCCAAAATGGGTTGGAAAAAGTAATCGAAAGTTTGAAGGGGGTGAGGTGCAAATCGAAAGTTTGAGGGGGTGCAAATCAAAAATCAAAAGTTTGAGAGGGGGGCAAATCGAAAGTTTGAGGGGGGGGGGGGGGTTGCATATCGAAAGTTTGTCCCCGGGCGCCGGGAAGGGTCGCTACGCCTCTGGCTCTATCCACACGCGTCATCACGGCCGTCTTGGGCGTGGAGCGAGGGGGGGGGAATCTACGACATAAGCGCGTCATCACGTTCAATAGGCGCGCAATGGTTTTTAGTCGGGTCAGCAGTCTAGTTCTTTACCACTAGACTACGTCATCCCATAATACTTTACTGAAACTTTAGCTATAAACTTGACCACAGACTGCGCAGTATTAATGTATTCAGTTAAAGAGGTGTTAAAGATTTGTGTTCTATGATATGTGTTCAGCTAATTGTGGCAATTTTAGGATTGTAACTAAAACATCAGTAAATGTGACACGTATTGTAAAACTAATCATATTATTAAAGCAAAACTGTTTTTCAAATTATGTATCATATATTTGTTGCTACACTATATTGTCTTAACATGCGTATAACTCATTAATACTAAAAAATATAAAAATAATAAATACATAAAAACGTTTATAATTACAAGCTTTTATAAATGCACTAAAAAGAAGAAAATAACACAATTTTTATTAAATATAAAATAATTTAAAAAAATATAATAAATCTGCAGTTACTTTAAATATAAAAAATTACTTTCTTTACATATATTAATGCACTACTATTTAGATTACTATAAATAAAAGCGTGGGCCGCTATAATAATAAGTATTTAAACAAGCGGCCCACGCTTTTATTTAAAGTGATATAAATAGTAGTGCATTCATATATTTAAAGAAAGTATTTCTTTTTATATTTAAAGTAACCGCTGATTTATTTTATTTTAAAAAAAAAAATTATTTTTAATAAAAATTGTATTATTAGCGCAATTTCCATTCTGGAGAATTGCGTTTATTAACCCGTCATTTCTGGATGTATGAATGTATGGATGGATGGATGGATGTGTGTCCGCAGCTTTAAGTCGTATCTCCTCCTCAATGAAGCAATATCGATGACTAGTTCCAAAAGCAATTATGTTAAGCAAGTTACGTGGATGAACATAGGCCATAAAAATTACGGGTTTCTTTCATGGATTTCCCGGAAAAGCCAAAAAACCTCGAAAAAAAGCAGTTTTTGGCCCATATCTCGGCAACCAGACCACTAAGCGACTTGAAACATGTACCAATCGATTCCTGCCATAATTTAGAACAATATTGCCGAAGAAAGTTTTCAAAAATATCCTTTCGTTTGGTCACAATTTTTTTTTTGAATTAATTAAAATTTGGACCGAATTAGTAGGCATTTTTTCCAACCACACCACACGCGTCATCACGTTCAATAGCTGCGCCATCGCGTTCCATGGCTGCGCCATCACGTTCAGTAGGCGCGCAATGGTTTTTAGTCATGTAACTCTATTGTAAATAAAACATGTAAAATACTGAAAAAAATTGATAAAAATCGTTTTAATAACTAACCAATGGTTTTACTAACCCTGCTCTTGATTTACGCTACGACAGAGCTATTTTTAGATAACATAAGGAAATTGCGCTAAAATTGTCACTAGACTTTTTAATTACCTTGTTTTTTTTCTTTTTAGTCAATTTACCAAAGCTTGTAACTATAAACGTTTTTATGTATTTATTATTACTTTTTTTTTGTTGTTGTTATTTTCATAGCTTAGATGCTTTTTATATACACATTTTTACTTTGTTTTTTGTTTGTTTTGATTGCTAGGATTCTTTTTATATACACATTTTTACAGAACACTATGTGCCAAAATAAGCGGGTGGTGCTAATTAAATATTAATGTATGCTAAAGAATTGCAGTAGTATTGAATTTACAAACATAGTATTTTAGATGGTATAATGCTGAAAGCATGTGGAAAGTCAATTTTATTTGACATATCGATTTCAAAACAGACTAAACACCAATCGGACTACAAACCAGTATTCAAGGACATAGAATAAAAACGCACAACTTTAGATGTAATTCTGAACTTTTGATGCCTACGGATAGTCTAGGTTCTGACATGACAGACAACCTTCCTCATACCCACGGCACTCGAAAAAAGAATTCGAAACATGCGCACATAACTGACGTACACACACACACACCTTGCACCCTACGCCCAAACAGATAGTACCTAAATCACCAATAACAAACAACACGGCTCGAAACGTAAGACAGAATTATACAAAAAAGAAACTTAATATAGCCTAAACATTAACAACAATATAAACAGACTAGCAGTTGACAGAGACATAAACAGCCAAACAGCGGCGCCATAATTCTGAAATACTTAACAAAAAAAACGCGAACAGGTTACGACAAGAAACGAAACGATACATTTACCTTTTAACCTACATATAATAATAATAATAATCAGACACACTCCAGCCACTCACATTAAAAAATATATAGGCTTATAATTCACGTGTAACGGGTATCATTGGATAGTTTAGTACATAAATGTATTAAGAAATTCCATGTAAATACTCATTTGTGATTTTTTTTCCTGTGATTTTTCCTGTGACTTAATTTTTTCTGGGTTTTTTTCTTGTGTTTTCTTTTTCCTGTGACCTTTTCCCCCAACAATCGCAGTTTGCCTTCAAATTTTACTTTGTATAAATCAATGTTTATCCCACTGGTTTTTAGAACAAAGGAAAAGGTCACTCCGCCAGCGGGTACACGAGTGTTTAGCCGATTGATTGATGTACAGTTTACGCTGCTTAGCGGGCAGTAAACGCTCGAAGATAGACTCTGTTCACGTAGTAGTTTGAAAATTTGACGAGAATACCAGTTTCACATTGCAGTAAAACGATAACCGTAGGCTGTAGAAGTTCGAAACGTTCGGGTTAGATAGCTAAAAGGTATTAGTACCGAATTAAGAAATAAAACTTTTTAGGAGCAAAACTTCACTTTTGCCGTAAACTTGTGTATATTGTATCTTTAAGCTAGCAAACTCTAAGCCTTACCTCTTTAATAGTGACTGACGCCCAGGCTATGTAGACACAACAAAATCCACATTGCATGATGCAGATCAGTGTATTCGAAACATATCTGTGGGAAACACCGACATTTATTTTCACACAAAAAACAACAAAAAACACAAACAACGAGCACATTTTCACACATAGTAGGATCACAATGGGGGAGGGTGTGTGTGCGAATAACACATGTATACAACAGTGCACAACGCGTTTCTTCATACATTACACATGTTTGCTGACCCACTAAACAACATGTCAATGCACACATGCATATAAATATACATGTATATCTTACTAACTAATCTACCTAACATACATGTATATCTTACTAACTAATGTAAGCCCTGCTAGGGGGGGATACCTAAAAATCTACCCTTCTAGGCTTAACTAACTAATCTGTCCGGTCAGTGCAACCGTGGTAGAACCCACAGTGGTTGAACCCTAACCTTAGTCTAAATAATAAGCTACTAAAATAAAACAAAACTTTTACAGTTAATAAAATTTATTGCATGGAACCAAAAGTTATAAAAAAAGAATAGATATAAACTGACACAAAACAGAACCAAACGAAACAAACTTTTTACATCAAACACAACACCCAATTTCGGACTACGTCCAGGACTACGACGAACACAAACACAAAATAAATATGGCTGGATGGTGCGAATTTGCTATTCTTTTCACCCGATGACCAGAGAGACTGCCTGCTCCCTTCACCGCAGCTTTCCACACAAAAGACAGAGTTGAACAAGCCGGAAACCGACTTCCACACACCTCACACGCTACACGTAAACAAATAGTCCCTAATTCACGGATAACAAACCAAACACGACGGAACATGCAACAGAATATTATAAAAAGACACTTACTATAAACAATGACAACAATATAAACGAAATATATATAAACTAGCTATAACCAGGGACATAAACAGTGAGACAGCGGCGCCATAATACGGGACTACACAACTAAAAAATACGAACAATTTACGACATGAAACGAAACGATACATTCGCCTTCTAAGTTACAAATAATAAAAATACACTCCAGCCGCTCACATACACGCCCCCTAAAGCTTGCGGTCACCGCAAGCTAACAAACTTGAAAAAAAACAGCCCACAGGGCATAATCAAAAATGTAACAAAAAAACAAAAAATTTGCAGGAAGAACTTGCAAAAAAATCAGCCCACCGGGCACAATCATAAATTTTACAAAAAAACAATCTTTGCCAGAAAATCAGCCCACAGGGCATAATCATATATGTTACAAAAAACTTTGCAAAAGAACTTGCAAAAAAATCAGCCCACAGGGCACAATCGTAAATTTTACAAAAAAACATTGTCAATAAAAATCAGCCCACAGGGCACAATCACAAGTCTAGCCTACTAGGGACTCTGCGCTCCCTGACCGACCTACGCAGAGGTATGTCAGGTACTGTGGGGTTACCGGCTGCTCTGGTCCCCGGCAATTGGACCTTATAAATTATGTGGCTGTAGCCTGGAGTAGCCGGCGGTATCACTTTGACCGGCCTTGGGGAGGGTGGTTGAGCCCGGGGAGGCACATATCTCGTGATCTGGGTGCTGGCCACCCGGCGGGTGCCAGAAGGGCCATCTTTCTTTTTAATGGCGTAACACCCGCCGGTGATCGGAGGTACTTCGACCACGACGTAAACTGTCGGGTCGTCCAGGTCTGCCATTTTGCGTCTGCCTAGTGGGGGTTGTCTCAGAAGGACCAGATCGCCTATGGCCAGTTCAGCTACAGGTGCCTTTTTGACCTGCTTGTCCTTCTTGCTGGACTCTGTCTGGGGGCATCCCCCAGCACCACCACCCGGTGCCTTAATTAAGGATGGGTTAGGTGGAACCATTGCCTCTAGTTCCTCAGATTGGTCCACCTTTATACTGGTTATGCTGGCGCGTAGGCAGGATGTTGGGCCTGATACCAATGACGGATCTGGGTGAAAAGGTTGGTCTAATGGCTGTACCACCTTGTCGTCCTTCATTCCGGGGTCTCCTTTCGCCGCCTGAATGGTTGGTACACTCTTGGCAGACACCAGAGTCCTATCGCAGGGGCGGAGGACCTTGCCCCCTCGCCATACCTTCGGTGTCACCCCTGGGGGCTTGATCAGGTGGGCCAATGTGGTCAGGTCCTGGAGAACGTTCATGCCCAACAAACAGGGTGGAGCTGATGAGCCACCCACTGGATCCTTTATCACAAGGAACCCCTTGTCGCGTATTTCTTCCTTGTTGATCTCCAGGTCAGTAATAAAATAGCCATTGTATGGGATGGCCAACCCATTTGCTGCCCTCAAGGACAGGGGTGTGTCTGTTCTTAGGATAATGTTCTTGAGGCTCCTGTTACAAAATGTTTCAGTGACCGTGCTGACTTGTGAACCACTGTCTACAACGGCCGTCACCGGTACACCTTGTAAATACACAGTCAGGGTGGGGCACTGTCCAGCCAGCTTGTGAATGGTGGAGCTTGGGCTCTGCCCACCAGCAGTAGTAAGACACTCTGAATCACTGCGGCCTCCTGCTTCTTTGAGTTTCGACAATTGCGGGCGAGGTGACCTTGCTGGTTACAATTGTAACACATTCTTGTTTCCGCCTCTGGACGTCGGCGGGGTACCCTTCGGCTAGATGACACTTGAGGGTTCTGTGCCAACTGAGTCAACAGAGCCGATAGCTGCTCTGCGAGCTTGTCCACCCGGTCTTCCAGCTTAGACCTGGGCAGGGTGGGTTCTTCCTTGGGGCGGGCATGTAGAGCTGCCACATAGGCAGGTTCTGTCCCTGGATCCTCGTCTCCAGACCATCGAATGGCCGCATCCCGTATGGCCAGGAAGGGGATCTTAGGGTCCCTGAAAACTAGTTCTTGCAACTGACGTCTGACTGAGGACTGGCTCAGCTTTTCCATAAACTGGTCCCTTAGGAACTCAGCATTCGTCTGAGGGACCTGCAGGGTGCCCTGTCTGGCAACAAGGGCCTTGAAGGCCCTGTGCAGGCGGTGCGAGTAGGCCCTCACCGACTCGTGTTGGCCCTGCACAACCATTTGGAGTTGCGCCATTAGCTGGGAGACGCTCCTCTTCTCCCCATAGACTTCTCGGAGGAGCCTGATGGAGGCCTCTGGGTCACGTTGCAGGTCATCTCCCCTGCAGCTCAGTTCTTCTCTCACAGCTTCCCCCAGGTACTGCCAGAGAAGGTCCTTCCTCTCTTCTACTGAGACGTCTCTTCTGGCCCTCCAGAGAGACTGGACCTCGTCAATGAATCGTTCCACATCATAGCCGTGGCTGTCCCCATGAAACTTCCGGATGAGGATCTCCCTGGGTGGAACGATGATGATGGCTGGTGCCACCTCCGCCATCTCGTCCGAATTGGGTGTTTTAAACAACAAACGATTCCTACACTAAACAAAAACTAAACACATATGGTTCCAAAAAAGGGCCTATCAAAAACAAAAAAATTTAACTAAGCTACACCTAGCCCTAGCAAAAAAACAAAAATTTAACTAGACTAAAGCACTGGCCCCACTCGTGCTACCAATTTGTAAGCCCTGCTAGGGGGGGATACCTAAAAATCTACCCTTCTAGGCTTAACTAACTAATCTGTCCGGTCAGTGCAACCGTGGTAGAACCCACAGTGGTTGAACCCTAACCTTAGTCTAAATAATAAGCTACTAAAATAAAACAAAACTTTTACAGTTAATAAAATTTATTGCATGGAACCAAAAGTTATAAAAAAAGAATAGATATAAACTGACACAAAACAGAACCAAACGAAACAAACTTTTTACATCAAACACAACACCCAATTTCGGACTACGTCCAGGACTACGACGAACACAAACACAAAATAAATATGGCTGGATGGTGCGAATTTGCTATTCTTTTCACCCGATGACCAGAGAGACTGCCTGCTCCCTTCACCGCAGCTTTCCACACAAAAGACAGAGTTGAACAAGCCGGAAACCGACTTCCACACACCTCACACGCTACACGTAAACAAATAGTCCCTAATTCACGGATAACAAACCAAACACGACGGAACATGCAACAGAATATTATAAAAAGACACTTACTATAAACAATGACAACAATATAAACGAAATATATATAAACTAGCTATAACCAGGGACATAAACAGCGAGACAGCGGCGCCATAATACGGGACTACACAACTAAAAAATACGAACAATTTACGACATGAAACGAAACGATACATTCGCCTTCTAAGTTACAAATAATAAAAATACACTCCAGCCGCTCACACTAATCTACCTAATATACATGTATATCTTACTAACTAATCTACCTAACATACATGTATATCTTACTAACTAATCTACCTAACATACATGTATATCTTACTAACTAATCTACCTAACCTTACCTAACCCAACCCAATTCAATCTAATCTAATCTAATCTGAGGGGTCGTCCATAAATGACGTCACACTCACAGGGGGGAGGGGGGGTCCGTAATTTTGTGACGATGTGTGACGAGGGGGAGGGGGTTCAGATGGTGCGACGTCACACTTTTACATTATAAAAAAAGCAATTTTAGAAAACGAATTTTAGACGTTATTTCGCGTTTTAGAAAACTGTTTTAATAAATTGCAATGGAAATTGATTAAAATACTCTATTTTGACAGAGTTCAGACAAGAAGGAAAAATATTGATGTTTAATGAAAAATTCAACGTCATTTTAGGGGGGGGTCTGGCTTTTTGTGACGATGTGTGACGGAGGGGAGGGGGGGGGGGGGGGAGGTAAAAATCGTCCAAAAAAGATTGACGCCATTTATGGATGGCCCCTGATCTAATCTGCTCTGATCTAATATAACACAATCAACCCACCCACCCTTAACCGAACTATTATGCAATTATAATATAAACAATAAGTTGTCTCTTAACTGGGATGACGGAAATAGAACTTAACTTGTAAACAAGACGTGACACTTGATGTAAACGAGTTGTTTTTTAACCAACTCAGTAGAAAGATGGACTAACCAATACGAAATATGGCGCAATAGGAGGTACCGAAATAGAATAATTAGACCTTGATAGACCTTGTTGACTACCCCGGATGTAACATGTGTGTACGAAAGGGAGACGCACAATGACTGGGTGTGTATGTAAGCAGCGCTACTTTTGGGTACGAGCGTGGAAACGCAGTGGGAAAGATCGGGAGCAGAAGCGCAGAGAGAGAACGATCGAGCGAGGAAGGCAGAGAGAATGAATTAACCGCAGAGAACAGTGTTAGTTGATGTGATATACGGAGTGATACAGTATGTGAACCTGTGACATTGGGTGCACCGTCAATCAGTGGCCGAATCAGAAAAAAGGGCCACCCCGAAAAAAATGTTCCCCCCCCCCACAATATATATATATATATATTTATATATATATATATATATATATATATATATATATATATATATACATATATATATACATACATAATACGAACATAGGATGCTCATTTCTGGCCTTTTTTTTCAATCAAAACAAATTACAACAACATCTCATTGTGTGGGTGCATTAGTCTGTTGTGAAAATGTCTATTATTTTTATCTTATGTCTGCCATAATACTTCCTATCCTCGAGACGGTCAAAAGAATATAAAACATGAAAGCTTTCTAGAGATAATGGTGTCTCGTGTTATGTTTATTTAATGGTTTTTTTGTGTATTTTTATTATTAATTTTAAATACATTTCCTTTTTACAACGCCATTCTTTAGTAAGAACTTAAAAAAATAATAATTAAGAGAAGTAATTGCTTTTTATTTTGTTTCGCACAAATCTATTTTAAAAAAGCTTATGAGCATCTCTATTTGACTATTTAAAAAAAAGGGAAATAAGTCATGGAAGTGGTTTGAACGTTTGCCTATCTTTCACATTACAGCTCATGTGTATATATTTTTTACGCAACAGCATGTGTTAGCTACTGTATAAAATCACTACTGTGGTAGGTATGTTTGTTATTTACAAAACTACTTTCAAGGTGCACGAAAAACAATATTCATGAATTAAAATTCATTGGTTTTTTTTTGTCTGGCGGCATGGTAGTTCCGCCCCTGCCGTCAATATGACCCCGTCAAATCAACCCCTGACAAAACAACTCAGTCAAAATAGCCCCGTCAAAAGGGTCCCGACATAATTATTGACTCGCGACATATAGGCTCTCGACAAGTGAGCTTCCAACATATTCTCTCCCCACAAATAGGCTCAGGACATATAGGCTCGCGACGTATTAGCTATCACCATAAGGGCTCAGGACTGCCGACAAATGGGTTCGCGATATACTGGTTCCCGACAAATGGACTCCCGACATATAAGCTCCCGACTAAACGACTTCCGACACATCGGCCCCAGACCAATGAATCGTATGATCACTATTGGCATAAAAGTAACCATTTTGTCCTACTTTCACTACCACTATAACCACTTTTAAATGCCTGAATGATTTTTTTTTTATGAACCAACAGCAATTTTACAAAGAAATCGAACCCCTAACAGCTAAATTCTACCAATTTTTAAATTTTGATAATGTTTAATTTACCACATTAAAGATCTGCTGCTTAAAAACGAGCAGAGAAGAGTAAATGTATGATATACATGATGTTTACAGGATAAAGACATTTTGTTTTGATAACCTACAAGCATACTGCAGGTAAGAATGTACAGCGTGGACCCTTCTCCCCACACACTGAGTTGGAGCAACCGACTCATTTATGGGAATCATAGCTAGATGACCCTTAAATTTAAAACATACTATTTCTTATACCAGACTAGCGTACCCGTCCCCCGCGCGTTGCCGCGGGAATAGAAGAAAGTCTGACAAAATATATTGGAAGGATTTCACAAATGCGTTACCAATCATATGTTCTTAGACGCGTGACCTTGTTTTCTAAAACTGATTTATTTAAATGTAAACAATGCTTGCGCTTGGATCATAAATATCGGGACATGGGTTTACCTACACTACCGAATGAAATCCTTGAATGTACGTTAATCACTCACCGAAATAATGAGGTAGAACACACTTCGTGACCGCCCATGTATCTGAAAAGTAGAGGGGAACTCTCGGGAACCCCCCCCCCTCCTCGCTGGCTCTTTAAAAATAACAAAGTGCCAATGTGCTAACAGGATAACCCAGAGCGCCATATAGCATCTAGAAACAATGATGCAGATTGTGTCATTCGCTAAAGTGACAAATAATAACAAGAATGTTACTTTAACATGTAAAAAAATTATTTGACGTGCTATAAAGATCAGTGTGATTGAGGCAATTTGTTAGCGTTACTAATGGTGTATTATTAGATGCTCGATCTCAATTTCTGATTGGATCGTCTAAAAATAGATGCTTATTGCATCATAGCAAAGTGACGAAACTCTACAGTAGGCTCCTCATTTTCAAAAACTTATTTTTTCATCTTTCGCAAGGTGACGAAACTGTACAGAAGGATTACCTCGCGTTACAAAGTTATTTTTAGAAACCTTGTCACAGACTGTATAATTAGGTATGTTTATATTATATTGTGTTTTACATGAAGTTGCATGAATGTAGAGTACCTGGCTAGCGGAAGGACTGTCTGAGCGACTCGTCATGTATTTTCCCAAAAGCATTTTCCCATTTCGCAGAAATATTCTTGGGAGTATTTTGATCTACTCCCCAAAGTTTCATGGCATTCGGATGAACCGCATCTGAGTTTTATTTTTTATATACCGTGTATAGAGAAAAAATCGTTCCCCCCGGGGGCGCCGCCCTTGCAAAATAATTTTTTTTTTCAGAACCCTACCTTAAGTGTTCTAATCATCTCCCCAAAGTTTCATGGTACACGGATGAACGATGTGAAACCGAAATCGACTTTAATTTTTATAAACCGTATATAGAGAAAAATCGCACCCTATCGTGTGAACGCGCTTACAAAATTAAAAAGGAGGTTTTTTTTTACAGAACGCTTCCCTGAATTGTTCTAATCAACTCCCCAAAGTTTGATGGCGATTGGATAAACGGTGTGAAACTGCAATCGACTTTTATTTTTTATATACCGTATACAGAGAAAAATCGCACCCTCCTGTGGCGCCGCCCTTTCGAAATTAAAAATGGTTTTATACATAACCCTTCCCTTGAGTGTTCTAAGTAACTCCACAAAGTTTGATGGCGATCGGATGAAAGCTGTGAAACCGCAAACGACTTTTATTTTTATATACCGTATATAGAGAAAAAACAAATCGCGTCCTGCCGGAGCGCCACTCCTGCGAAATTTAAATTGTTTTTTTTTTGCGCAGAAACCTCCCCAGGAATATTCTCAACATCTTCCCAAAGTTTCATGGCGATCGTGTAAACGGCGTCACTGGAATTCACTTTTATTATTTTTATATACAGTACATAGAGAAAAATCGCACCCTCCCGAGGCGCCGCCCTTGCGAAATTAAAACTGATTTTTTTTACAGAACCCTTTCTTAGAGTATTATAATGAACTCCCCAAAGTTTCATGCCTATCGGATGAACGGTGTCAAATCAAAATCGACTTTTTTTTTATATACCGTACATAGAGAAAAAAAATCGCACCCTCCCGTGGCGCCGCCCTTGCGAAATTAAAACTGATTTTTTTTACAGAACCCTTTCTTAGAGTATAATAATGAACTCCCCAAACTTTCATGCCTATCGGATGAACGGTGTCACTGCAATTCACTTTTATTATTTTTATATACCGTATATAGAGAAAAATGGGACCCTCCCGTGGCGCCGCCCTTGCGAAATTAAAAATGATTTTTTACAGAACCCTTCCCTAGAGTGGTATAATGAACTCCCCAAAGTCTCATGGCTATCGGATGAACGATGCCAAACCAAAATCGACTTTTATTTTTATATACCGTATATAGAAAAAAACAAATCGCGCCCTGTCGGGGCGCCACCCCTGCGAATTTGAAATATTTTTTTTTCGCAGAAACCTCCCCAGGAATATTCTCAACAACTTCCCAAAGTTTCACGGCGATGTGATGAGAGGTGTAGTAATGCATAAAGGACAGACAGACACACACAGACATACATTGCTTTTTATATATATATATAGATAGATAGATGGATAGATATAGACAGACAGACAGACAGACAGACAGACAGACAGACAGACAGACAGACAGACAGACAGACAGACAGACAGACAGACAGACAGACAGACAGACAGACAGACAGACAGACAGACAGACAGACAGACAGACAGACAGACAGACAGACAGACAGACAGACAGACAGACAGACAGACAGACAGACAGACAGACAGACAGACAGACAGACAGACAGACAGACAGACAGACAGACAGACAGACAGACAGACAGACAGACAGACAGACAGACAGACAGACAGACAGACAGACAGACAGACAGACAGACAGACAGACAGACAGACAGACAGACAGACAGACAGACAGACAGACAGACAGACAGACAGACAGACAGACAGACAGACAGACAGACAGACAGACAGACAGACAGACAGACAGACAGACAGACAGACAGACAGACAGACAGACAGACAGACAGACAGACAGACAGACAGACAGACAGACAGACAGACAGACAGACAGACAGACAGACAGACAGACAGACAGACAGACAGACAGACAGACAGACAGACAGACAGACAGATAGATAGATAGATAGATAGATAAGAGATGTAAAACCTCATAGGCTTGGCCAGCCTCTGCAAGCCTTTAGGTCCGTGGGAAAATGCCAGTTCTACAACGTCTGCGTAATTGGCAATTTGCCTCCCAGCTCTGTGGAGAAATTAAGATGTTTCCATGACTAAAAGTGGGCAAGTGGACACAAGCAGTGGCGTCGCTAGGTCGGGTGTCGACCTGTGCGGCAATTCGTGGTGTCAACTCCCCCCCCCCCCCAGAAACTATATATATATATATATATATATATATATATATATATATATATATATATATATATATATATATATATATATATATATATATATATATATATATATGTGTGTGTGTGTGTGTGTGTGTGTGTGTGTGTGTGTGTGTGTTTGTCTGTCTGGCTGTCTGTCGGCCTACATAGACCTATAATTTAAAATGTATGCCACATACGGGTACATGTATGTGTGTGTGTGTGGGTGAATGGTGGATTTATTTGGTTTTATTTTATTGTGTGTGAATCTGTGTGTGAATGTTCTACCGGACATCGGCTACGGGATTTCCCTTCAGTGGCGGAACTAGAAAAAAAGGGCCACCCCGCAAAAATAAATTCTAGGCCCCGCCCTATATGTATATATATATATATATATATATATATATATATATATATATATATATATATATATATATATATATATATATATATATATATATATATAAACACAATACAAACATTGATACCCATTTCTGGCCTCATCGGCTTTTTTTTTTCAATAAAACAAATTACAACATGTCATGTCTTTGAGTGGATTAGTCTGGTTTGAGTTTTTTCTTTAAGATTTAGAACTACTTTATTCCATACGTTTGCTGTAATATTGCCTAACCTCTAGACTTTAAATTCAAAAGAATATAAACCGTGAAATCTTTTGTATGTGTAATGGTTTATCGTGTTATGTTTATTTTTATGTTTTCTTGTATTTATATTATTTATTTTATATACATTTCCTGTTTACGCTATGTCATTCTTTAGTATGTACTTTTGAAGAACTACTGAATAGACCAACACCAGAGTGCACGCAAGACATACCACCAGCTGAAAGTGACCTCCCTATAGACTGCAACCCACCTTCAAAAGAAGAGATACATAGAGCTATAAAGCAGCTGAAAAATTGGAAGGCTCCAGGAATAGATGGTATACCGGCAGAAGCACTGACAGCAGATATAGAAACTAGCACCACACTACTATACACACTCTTCAAGAAAATCTGGGAAGATAAACAAATACCAGAGGAGTGGAAGGAGGGACTACTCTTAAAGCTTCCAAAGAAAGGCGATCTTAGTGCATGCTCTAACTATAGAGGGATAACACTTTTGTCCATCCCAGGCAAAGTCTTCAACAGAATATTATTAAACAGAATGAAGGAAGCCATAGATCCCCAGCTTCGAGATCAACAGGCGGGCTTTAGGAAGGAAAGGTCATGCATAGACCAAATTGCTACCCTGCGCATCATCATTGAACAGACCCAAGAGTGGAACTCATCTCTCTATATTAATTTCATAGACTATGAGAAGGCCTTTGATAGCCTGGATAGGCAGTCAATGTGGAAATTGTTGAGACACTACGGGGTGCCACAGAAAATAGTCAACATTATTATGTCTTCATATGAAGGTCTCAAATGTAGAGTAGTGCATGGCCAACAGACTACAGAGGCCTTCCCAGTACGGACCGGAGTAAGGCAGGGTTGCCTACTTTCACCATTCCTGTTCCTACTGGCCATAGACTGGGTTATGAAGATGTCAACAGAGAAAACGCGAAACGGTATACAGTGGACACTGTGGAGCCAGCTGGATGACCTGGACTTTGCTGACGACCTGGCCCTTCTTTCACACACACAACAGCAAATGCAGGATAAAACCAACAGGGTTGCTAATTTTTCTACAAGCCTGGGTCTGAACATCCACAGAGGGAAAAGTAAAGTTCTCAAAGTCAATGCATCAAACAACAACCCTATAACACTGGCAGAAGAAGCCCTAGAAGAAGTGGATAGATTCACCTACCTTGGAAGTATTGTTGATAAGCAGGGTGGGACAGAAGCAGACATAAAAATAAGGACGGGTAAGGCAAGAGCAGTCTTCAACCAACTAAAAAATGTTTGGGGTTCGGGAGATTTAACCCTTAGAATAAAAATCCGGATCTTCAACACACTAGTAAAACCTGTTTTACTCTATGGAGCCGAGACATGGAGAATAACTGCTATAAATAAGAAGAAAATACAATCATTTATAAACGCATGTCTCAGAAAGATCCTGCGAATTCGCTGGCCTAAAACCATCAGAAATGATGTTCTATGGCAGGGGTCTCCAAACTACGGCCCGCGGGCCGGATGCGGCCCGCGAAGTCCTCTCATCCGGCCCGCGGAGATCTTTTTGTCCACGGAAAAACAACGTTTGTTGGTGATGGCTGAGGAACTTTGCCTAGAAAAATCAAAGACATGCCTGGAAGAAACTGGCCCCTGAACTGAAATTTGATAGTTAATGCGGCCCTCGGACTGAAAAGTTTGGAGACCCCTGTTCTATGGCAACGGACAAATCAACTGCCAGTGGAAGTAGAGATCCTCCAGAGAAAATGGAAATGGATTGGCCACACACTCAGGAAGCCTGTATCCAGCATAACAAGACAGGCCCTCACCTGGAATCCACAAGGCAGGAGGAAGAGAGGCAGACCAAGAAAGACCTGGAGACGTGACCTGGAAGAAGACACCAAGAAGATTGGATACACCTGGGGACAGTTGGAGAAACTAGCCCTGGACAGAGACGTCTGGAAAGCTCTTGTCAGCGGCCTATGTCCCAGTAGGGACGACAGGCAAACATGACATAGTTTAGACTAAGGTTAGGGTTTTAATCAGTCAGGGTTAGGGTTTTAATCAGTCAGGGTTAGGGTTTTAATCATTCAGGGTTAGGATTTTAATCAGTCAGGGTTAGGGTTTTAATCAGTCAGGGTTCAGCCTGACAGGGCTTACATGTGTAATGTGTATTAGCTTTAATTACTGCAAACTTAATAGTAACGATGTTTATCTATAGCCTGTTAATAGTATAGTTGGATGTAGCATTGTTTTCTCTATAGTTCTATAGTTAGCACGTTTACGTCATGGTGTCTGTCATAGCGTAGATAGATAAAGTAAGATTAGACTGGTAGAGACTAATAAGGACGGTGTAAACTTGAATGTAGTCGATTTGGAGTGTTCGTTATAGGATTAGCCATCGTATAGATTCATATAGCAACGTATACCATTGTAATAATTGTCCATTTCTACTTAGAAGACTATTTAGCTTTCGTTGAACACTAATGGATCTGGCATAAAAAGCATTTTTCTTCTGTACAATTTGCAATTTTTGCCTTGGTGTCACCCCCCCCCCCACCCAAAATGATGTCACCCGGTGCAGTCCGCACTCCCCGCCCCGCCCTCGCTACGCCTCTGGTCATGAGTGACATACAGCCATATTTTTTATTTGTGCTTATATATATATATATATATATATATATATATATATATATATATATATATATATATATATATATATTTATTTATTTGTGCTTATATATAATGTGAGTATGTGTAGGCGTGAGTGTGTGTAAGGATATGTGCGACAGTCTAGAAAAGGTTTAATAATTACAGTGTATGATTTTCGTACCTTAAATTAAATTCCCACTAAGATGCGTTTTCCTTTTATAAAAGATGAGTAATGTCAGAAAAAAATTGTTTGATCTGAGTTTAGGGGTTTGTATGTTCTTTCTTTGGAACAGTCTCTGTTGTGATGAGGTACATAGTTGTATTATAGGTTTGTTAGAGTAAGGTCATACAATTGAATACAAGATCAACTTATTAGAAACATTTATTGTACGCATTGGAATACGACATGGGTATTTCGTTGACTAGCGAAAAACAAGCTAGAGGAAGCAAACTGGAATCCAACAGCTCGAAGTCTTGGATTTCGCAGATTTGCGCTGCCTTCTCGCACACAGTCAACAACAAATGCAGAACTAATTGTACTGGTTAAAGAAGCTGTAATAACCAGTATAATGATAGTGGCACCGCCCATGACGTTCTAATCAGAATCAGCAGCGATAAAACACGTTTTAACATTCTAAGCCAATGTGTAATTCAAATGCATTGTCAAAAAAATTCAATCAGGATCTGTAGCTAAATGTGAAGTCTCTTTTACTGTATGGCTCGGAGTTAGGTTACAGAAAATGGAGAATGAAATAAGAGCCTGGAAAATGTGGTGGTTAGGACACACAAAGACAGTAAATATCATCACTAAGCAGGGGCTTGTGTAAAGTCCACGGTGATAGAAGAAGCGACAAAAAAGTTCCTGAAGGAAATCGTTTGAAATACAGATGGGGAGGCTGGATTAATAGGGTTCTATCTTCATAAAAACCAAGCGAGTTGACAAAGTGTTGCATTCGCCTATGCTCCTTGGGAAACCAAAACGAATAAAAAGAAGAAATTAAAATAGTTTGGAGCAGTGGTTTTTAACTTGGGTTCGATCGAACCCAAGAGGTTTGGTATGTAAGTCTCAGAGCTTCGGCGGAGGTCAAGCCACACACCTGACTCATATGATTCACGATCAGATTTTGTCAATGTCGGCGGTAAAACTATTAAGAAGGGTCTGGTGAAGGCGCATATGAAACTGGTACGGTTCAGTACCTCCAAAAAGGTTAAGAACCACTGCTTTAGAGTGTTGTTTGTAAAAGTTGCAAGCTTATTTGGTCTACTTTTGGTCGTGTCTTTAGAACAATTTTGATGATAATGTATTAGTTTTAAATTATTAGTTAGGTTGAACAAAGTAATAAATCATTAGCAGTCGTCGTGTTGTACCATTTTTACATCGTTTAGTAGGTCTAGTGACCTTAACTATTTGAAAATTGCAGTATTAGGACTTTCCTCCCCCCCCCCCCAATCCAGGAAAAGCTGGAAAGCGGTTTTTTCTAGTTACTGTTTCTTAAGGGATCCGGACAAAAGGTCGACACGGACAAAAGGCCGACATGGACAAAAGTCCGACAAGACAAAAGGTCGACAGGTTGACAGCCAAAAAACCGACTGCTAAAAGGCCGACATCCAAAAGAC